AATTTCAAAAGGCCAAAAAAGGGATACAACCCATTAATTAAGATTAAACATAAATAATCAAGCAAATTAAACATTTATTTCAAAATTGTTGAAACTTGTATTTTAATAACTACAAAACAATTGTTTAAAAGTTTTGTAAACAATTGAAATATTGTTGAGAAAATTGATTTCAAAATTGTTGAAACTTGTTTTTTTTAAGAACTACACAAGCAATTGTTAAATAGTATTGTAAACAATTTTAACATTGTTTTAAAATTTTTATAAAAAATAAGAATAAAACAATTTTAAAATTGTTGTAAAATAGTTACAACTTGTATTAAAACTATTTTTTTTTACTGCAAAAAATTAATTTTTTAACAATTTTAAAATTGTTGTAAAATAGTTACAACTTGTATTAAAACTTATTTTTTAACAGCAAAAAAACTTATTGTTAAACAATTTTAAAATTGTTTCAATCTTATATTAAAATAAATTAAAGTAAATTAGTTCCAGGTCAAGGTCTTACCATAAGACCTGCGGTAAATGCGTATTCCTTAATATCTATATGGGAAATTTGCTATAAAGACTCATATACAATTAGGCCTATTAACAGGGCCCGTGAGAGCCAGTAACAGCCGGTAACAGGCCCCCTATTTTCCTGATTTAGTGTCCAGCCACCTCCGTGCCGTTTTGGTACCTCGTATAACAATAGGCTACATACCTAAAATGCATGATGGTTTGAACTGAAATTATTACAGTTGCAACTTTACGGTATTCTATTAAAAAAATACTAAGTAATCTGGAAAACCATGCTAAATTTTGTTACTTTAGCAGATTAGGCTACATGTATAGAAAAGATTTTACATTTGACCGGGCCAGGCCCCCTCCCCAATATAACAAAAGCCTTATCGTTTTTATATTGCAGATGCACGTACAACTCGTAAAATGTATATTTTCATTTTATGATTCAAATCAATGTCGGTGGAGGGGGGAGGGTAAGTACATCTTGGGCTCATAGTACATCACGTTCTAATAACGGGCCTGGTCCTAGGTCTAGGTTTTTAATAACTTACACGTATCCAGTTTAAAGAAAAGTTGGTCAGCAAAACCGAGTGGTTATAAACTTTAGACCTAACTTTAAACTTTATTTTGGTAATACTGGGCCAAGACCAACTGTATAAACTAAGGCTAGGCGCACACGAGCGATTATTTTGAGGCGACTATTTCATCGGCCGATCTGTGCATCATGTATTTGAATGGAAGCGCGCACACAGGCGATCGAGAATTGCGTCGATTTTAAAATCTGGGTTTTGCCACAGATTCGTAGGCGAAGCGATTATCGCCCGGAAATCTGTTACGTACAGGTTGTTATCAGTCCGCGCACACGGTCAACTAAAAATCGGCCAGTCGCTTGTTGTTCTCCACAGGAGTCAGTGAACTTCAGTGTGAGTTGTGTTGTTTTCTTTGCTAAAAAAGGCCACAGCTGTTATAATAAAAACTGAAACTTTCAACAGACATTCTATAGTAATTAAATAACTTTTTACTGTCATCACGTAAAGTGTATAGTTTCTAAAACTGTTGATTTAAAAGTCTCTGACTTACTATCGGATGAACACAATATTTAAGTTGTCTTCTTTTTTTCTTTGATCTAGTTAGAAGAGCACAAACACAGGTTAATTCAACAAAGTCCATTTTAAACGCACTCAAAAAATCCATTTCTCGACTAAAAAATCGCGACGTGTGCGCCTGGACATAAATCAAGGGCAATTTATTTTTGGTCGATTTTTTAATCGGCCAATCGAAAAATCGACCATGTGCGCCAGGCCTAAACTGATAGGCCTACATATAAAGCATAGCTACAGATTATGGATTCCTGCAATTTTTCTAGCAATGGAAACATTAATCTAAATAGATCTCATTAATTCACTAAGGCAAATAAATAAGGGGATTTGAATGACACGAGTTTTAGCGTATAGACCTTGACCTATGACCAGGATAACTAGGCCTCGACCTAGTACGCAACGTAGAACCAATGTCTTAGGGTACTATTTACCTGCACATGAACAAATGCATTTTGCATTTTGATAAACAAGTTTTGATGTTAGTATGTACTTAAGTTAGTCAACGTAAAATTACCACACAACTAAGTTTGACATATTATAGAGTCATAGGCCTAACAATAATCATTCTCTGCTAAAGGCTTAGTGATATTCTTGGTTTAGTCTAAGGATTACCTTACGATCCGATTGATTAACTGTGGAGACCTAGGTTTTTACGCTGGAGCGTTATCGTCAGTCCTAGGATAAGCTAAACTTTTTGTTTTTCATCTCTTAACTTAGGCTACTTGAGATACTGTCGGTTGAATAGAATTTTACAAATACAAACACTGAATATACATAAATATTTACAAAGACACAGTGGAGAACTTAGATGCATGGCCATGATCATTCCAATTCTAACCACCAAAGTTAGACGTGATAAGGTTCTGTTCTAGCATGGTTGTTATCACTCCATGGAGTGATCATGGAGTGGTCATGGAGTGATGGCCATGCATCTAAGTTCTCCACTGTCTTTGTAAATATTTATGTATATTCAGTGCTTTTATTTGTAAAAATTATATTCAACCAACAATATCTTGAGTAAGAGATTAAAAACAAAAGGTTTAGCTTAGCCTAGGACTGAAGATAACGCTCCGGCGTAAAAACCTAGGTCTCCACAGTAGGCCTAAATCAATTGGATCGTAAGGTAAGCCTTAGATTATAACAATGCTTAGCGATACCTTAGCTTACCATGTTTTGCGGTAACTTCAACGATGTCTCCCAATTGCTCGATGTCTCCCAAGTGCTCGATGTCTCCCAATTGCTCGGCAAACGCTACTGCAAGATATACAAATGTCACAAAGAAACAAAAATTCTTTTTGTCTGCCATTTATTTTTGCAATATTCACTGGTTAAAGGCTAAAACAATAAACTAAGGTAAAGTTTAAAATCAATTGTCCCCACTGTTCCAGCAACCAACTCTAAAATCAACATTTCAACATTAGCGTTAAAATTCAAAAACGAAATGCCAAATTGCCAAGGACAATAAATAGCTGATTGTTGCTTCTTGTTCTCCTCTTTGAATTACCAGCAGATATATTTAATCATGCAGTTTGCTATTGCACTACATAGTACCTAAATCATAGACGATAATATTCCAAAGTGTACTTTAGTATTAAAAGATATTAATCGTCCCATAATTAGAATTAATAATTATCTCACACAATGACAAAATTAATAATTATAGCCTACAATGATACCTACAAATAAATTATCACACTCTAAACTATATACCCTGCCATATCAAACTTGCAGACTAAGCGAATTTCCATTAACCTGGCTAGATATTTAACAAAATATTCTATTTTAATTGTCTGCTTGGATAAAAATAATAGCCTATATTTATGAGTACTTAGGTTTGCTGCTACAAGGAAAGAAGAATAAGAAAAACATGAAAAATTCTAATTTTACTTTTTTTATTTCCTTCGTAACCTTAAGGCATACAACAACGCTTCAATATACTAAATCATTTCTTTTTTAAGCCCTACAAAAGAAAATGCCAATTTTTATGTTTTTAAAGTATAAAATGGTAAAAAGCGCGCGGCCCAAATCTTGCCATGAAACCTATGGTAATGGGGTATAGCGGAATTGTATTCTCCTGTAATTTTAAACATCTGACCAAACTGATGTCACAACCTAAGGTGTGAAATTCCGGGTGCGAGCTTTTCAGTTGCACATCAGTTTAATAAATTAAAGGTGGAATTTAACGTTTAAGTTATCTTCCAGTTTGTTCATTTAATCAAAACACATCAAATTATAAAACCTAGAGTGTAGGAACAGGCCGGAATTTTACCCCCGCCGGACTTTAATCCCCTTCATAAGGTCAGCTTAAATGTACGATTCTTTTCCCCGTATTTTTCATAGAACTCAACCGTATCACTAAATCTGTCATTAGACATTCAATGACAATAAGGTTGTTTTTACAGGTTGAGGGGCATCTAGGCCTAACTTAAATAGTGCCAACAGTGTTTTGTTTTGCTTACCGTAACATTTTTGTTTGTTTTATAGTTTACATATGAAAAGTAGTAATACTTACTTTTATTTTTTTGTGCATGTAAACCTTAATTGATGTAGCTTGATTGCATGTACTTGTTTACTATATTGACATGATCTATTGCATTTTATGTATAATGTTTAATGATCAAATAAATCTATCTATCTATCTATCTATCTATCTTCTCATCCTACGGACGGTAAAATCTGAATCCTATTTTGTTTGTTCCATTTTAGTGTTGTTTATCAAGGCCCCACTAGAAAAAAAACAGGCCATGCTGCAGGATCCATGACGTCACACTAGTGGATAGATTTCACTAATAAATTCATTGCCATTGCCATTCTCATATGTTTTAGGTATATAAACAAGCTGGCTGTTTGTAAGATTTTAATGGTAAGAGTTTAGTACAACTATCCACCATTGTGACGTAGTGTTGCGCTGCCCGCGCTGCAGCTCGGCTTGTTTTTCTAGTGGGGCCTTGTGTTTATGCATTAGCGTTGACTTAATATATTTTTAAAATTGTATACATTTTTATGATTTGTGCTGTAGGCCTACACTTTGGTTAAAAAATAATACAGGAAATCTAATGGTTTATAAGTCATAAGTCATTTATTTAACCAGATTTACATTATAAAATAGGTGTTTTATTAGAGTAAAATAGTTTTAAAATATATGTCAAATACAAATATAAAAACACCCTTTACATAAACCCAATAAAAATAATTTTGAAACTTTCTTCAACTGATCCATTAGGATGACAAATTAAAAAGAAAGAGTAGGTCAATGGGTTTATATTTGATATAAAAATGAATAGCTGAAACTCTATGGATTTAGATCTTTCTAAACTTGTTACTCTAGCGGTAGCAGAAATACTGTCTGTTCGTTTTGTTGTTTGACGTTTCATTCTTTGACTTTGACATTCCTCATCCACTGTTCCACCCCACATCTGTTTATCCATTTTGTTTACATAGGCACTTTTAAATTTTAAAGTTTCTGTAACTTATTTATTTATGACAAGTTGAACTATTATACGTGGTTTTTCGGATAAAACATTACTTGTCAAATTGGAAATTTCTGCTTGTAAGTGAATTGGATTATTATGTAAACAGTTAATGAAGTTTTCAAAGTAATAAAACCTTTTGTTGACATTCAGTTTTGATTATTAGGGATCCAACTTAATAAGGAAGGTGGGTAGGCTAATAAGTTAGTTATGCTTTTTTGTTATGGCCCAAATTTGGTTTTTGTCTTATACTTTTAGTTGGCTAACCATAAGAAATGTGCTCATTAGTTGTGTTACGCTGCTAGGCCTAAGTTATTAATAATTATAAATTTAAATGCTTGAATAAATGAGATGACAGATTTGTTATTGACTAATATCAGCTGGTTCCTTAGCCAGGATAAAGTTGTTAAAAACCAGCTGTTACATTTGTTAAATTGATCAAGGGCAGCTGGATCCAGTTTCAAACTCTAAAAATCTTTTGACATTTCACAGAGCCCAATTAGCAACATTCTGACTAGGCCTACTTGGCTAGCACTATAAACAACTCAACTCTAGGTATGATAATCAAATGGAAAAATGTTTTATTCTTTGGCAATACAGAGGGGATTCCACATTCGACTAAGGATTTCAATATTACGGGGGGTTTAGTGTTTAACCATCCTCCTCGAAAGTTGTGGTGGTAAGGTTAGGTTTGTTTAAAATAGTAGTGTTATTTGTGCTCAAATAACTTAGCCTAATTCATTTCATCCTCATGGTTATCACTTAAGTCTCACTTAAATATTTTAGTGCTAAAGACTGATATATCATATCCCGGGAATTCACCAACAGTACCTTAGCACACTGTAAATAGATAATCTGTAAAAATGCTGAACAAAATTGGACCCCAGTCTCATTCCCCACGATCCTTTCAATATATTGTTTACAGTACGGTATCTAAAAATTATTGCAATCTTTTATAGGCCTATATAATAATTTATGTATTCTTGACAGGGATCTAACGAAGGTAACATAGTCGCTGAAACAATCGTCATCCACCCTTAAGGAGGTTAAGGAATCACTAGACAAATTCAAGGTAAAATAACCTCTTATAATAGCCCATATATTTAAATAAATCATGACTGTATAAAAATGTAATTTATAGGAATTCTTGATAATGACCCCTTTCTTATAGCTTTAGGCCTACGGCATCCATAGTTACCTAACCATTATACAACACTGGAACATTTTGGTTAACTAGCTCAGTGTTTCTCATTTCTATCTTTGCTGATGTTCTTTACTGCCCAAAGCGGTTCATTCCTCTTTTTAAAAAGTCCATAATTTCTTTTCATCTCCACATAGTGGATCCTTTGTCATGCAGATCTCAACTTGACATAAACGCTTGGGTGTGTTGCTAGCCTAGTGGTTAGCGTCTCGGACTTAGTTTGCTGGAGGAACGGGTTTAGTTACCAACACACCCACAAAAACCTTATTACTCACGTTGACCTTATGTGAAGTGCCACTCGTATAGATGTAGAGTTTGATTTCTCCAACATTTTCATATTTAACAGAGTTTTTCAATCTTCCCTAAACTGGATGCTCTTATAGTCAGTTGGACTTTCGAGGAGATAAGAAGTTATCTGAAAACTTGGAAACCTTATGAAATGTATAAAAATAAATATTTCATTACAAATTGTATGAAATATTTTGTATATTTTGTAGGCTACAGCTAATTCTGTATTATCCACTAATTTTTCAAGAGTCTCGTCTGAAATCAAAACTAAGATGTAAAACTTGAAACTCTTAACAGACAAAATAACACGTTCAAAGGTGGAACGTTTCTTATTTTCTGCGAAGAGTTTACAGCAGATTATCAGAGCGTAACCCTATTTTTACCCAATAAAACCTTGTTCCCTAGTTGGATTATGCTTGTTCGCTAAATTGTAAGAATAGGCTAACCGTTGGTACACAAGTTTGTAGGTACCAAGTTTCATCAAAATTTGATCATTTTTACTCAAGTTCTCATGCAAACGGACACATATGCCAATATTTATGAGTTTAAGTGGATGGGGGTTTTTTGGCCTCTGGAGACCTTAAAACGAAAAAGTAAATCGATCCGAGGCTAGGTCTTGCGATAAAATCTATGTCAATAGCTTATTCTCTATATATGGGAAATATTTGCTTTCTTTGTTTGGTTTAGGAGGTTGGGTTTTGGGTGCCAGGAGGTTCTTCGATTGTAATATCTTGACGCAAGCGTTGAGACACTATATTGTGATTTTCACTCAAATTAATAAACTCGTCTATTATCCAGAGCTGGTGGTGAGAACCTAACGATTCCTTCTGACACAAGAACAAAGGCTCTGTTTGCAAGAGCCGCTGTTATAGGGAATAAACTATTACCTCATGGTCTCATAGTATGAGCTAGCCCCGGACCGATTTATTTTTTTTATTTTGACGTCGCCAGAGGCAAAAAACACATGTATATAGAGTTTTATATTTGAGCGAGTTCGCAAACCAGCGTGATTGGACAATGGGAACTGAGTTGTATGGGTTGAATATTGGGGTTTCCCATTTTTACCCCATAAACATAGAATTTTGCATTTTTTTTTCAAGTTATTTCGTAGAGCTTTAAAAAAAAACTAAAAATATATACTGTATACTGAAGCATTGTTGAATGCCTATCGGACATGAAGAAAATTCCCAAAAACTGTAAATTTAAAATTCCCATCTTATTCTTATGGAGAACAAAAAAAGTGTTGCAGTTTCCTTATAGATATATTCTGATCAAATTTGGCAAATTTGTTTATTTTGTGCTAAGCTATCAACATTTCAATAAAAAATACACTTTATTACCTTCCCTGGATCCCCAAACACCTAAGTACTAATTAAAATTAATGTTCAGACAACTTGTAGGGAATATCCAACTTTGGTGGAGATCATATCCTAAACAAACAGCTAGTTAAATAGAAATTTTGCCTAGCCAGCAGGTTTGCTGCGGCTGGGCTATTTTGTTTTACAGATTCAGATTCAGAAACACTTTATTTAAGATCTACATTATACAAATATAAATGTAGAATAGCGCCAATATTTGTAAATAAATACTATTGTAGTTATTTTTTAAATGTTTTGGTATGTTTTTGATACTTTGATAGACCCTTGGTATTTGTCTTGTTGAATTGTTGTTGTTATTATTATATATTTCCTGATAGCATATATTAGTTTGTAAACAATTTTTATATCCCTGGTTCTGCTTTTTCAGGAATTTTCTATTTTAGGAAAGCAGATCTTGACAGCTCTATTACTTGTAACAAAATGACAAATCATACTAACACATAAACAGTTAGATCTTAGACAATGTTCTCTAGTTCAAATATAATCTATATAAACCAGATACAGTTAAATAATCATTTCCATACTGCAATAATTGGGTTACAGAAATAATTTCAAATATTTACTCTTTAATATGAGCAGTATACTATTCAACCTTACTACCAGTAAACCTAATAAGACTGTAACAGGTTGTTTTGTTGTAAAATAAATGAGACTAATTTATTTTTACTAGGTTTTACCTTTAATCAACTTAGGAGTTGTTTTTACGGCTATTGCTTCTACTTTTATTGCAGTTGGAGGTTGGACGGCTTAAAACAATATCTAAGATTTGAGTGACAGATTGGTAGATGTAGATGGAAGATCTATCACACACCTGAATTCTTACACAAAATCCAGTTAATGAGCAAATAAACTCTGTTTTTCATAGCCGAATGGAAGGCTTCACAACATTTTCCAACCATTCATTGAGACTGTCACAAGATTTTTTTTGAGACTTTTAATTAAACCTACAAAGTTTTCTCAGGGTTTCTTTATGTCTTATTTCTATTTCTTGGTGAACGAAAAAAATTATTACAAAGTATTTCCATTTTATTATATTACGAACAACATCAAAATTTATGCTAAAGTTAAATTAAAGCGTATCTCCGCCAAAAAATCCCTTGAACGCCTACGGCAAAACCCCCATAAAAATAATTGTAGAGCTTCTATCTAACTGTTTCAATTGGTTGATGATTTTAATTACATATACAATAAAAAATCAAATTTAATGAAAAATTCTTGATTTTTTCTGGCAAAGTTAGGGCCATATGGCCCTTTCGTACACTTAACCTGACAATAAATTTGTTTTCATGCAAGAAAAATTTATCACAGTTTCGTGAAATGAGATTAGATTTCCTTGTCTTTAACACATTTTTGTGAGACATTCTGTTGTTGATCGATGATTGATGTTTGAGGTTTAGTTTATCGTATTTAACTTTGAAAAATCTATAAAGATTGATAAAGTATCCAATTTATTAACCATTGAAGAATAAAAAAAAAAATTGATCTGGCCATGCTTCAAATTATATTCAAGCTGAATTTACCAATATTATAAACGTAAGCTGTGGATTAGTAACAGTTTGGTTTGGACTGATGAGTTTGAGAGGATGGGCTTGCTCGTATATCTACGCCAGTAGTTGAGTAACGTTAGATTGATGAGGACTTCTACGTTAATAGTGGATAGTCTCCAATTTGGCATTGTCTTTTTATCTAACCTTTCTACACCATTTCTCTTGCCTGATTTGGGAAATTGATTTGCATACAAATTTGTTCTATTGGTAATTTGTCTATTAGACAAATTATTATTCGCTAGGTAGTCGTAGAAATATGCAAAAGTCTATTTTTTATTTTATATAAACATGTACTTCAAGACACCATAGCTGGGTAAACAAGAAAATGCTATGATTTGTATGATTCTTTCATATTTTAAAAATAAATTTTGCTTGTTTACTGTTACTCAAAAATTCTATTCCATACTGCACTTATGAGACAAACAAAGTAAGATAAACTATCATTTTGTTTTAGAGAGAGTAGTCTAATATTTTGTAGGATAGGCATTTGAAAGCAGGCAATATTTATTTCATATAAAACATTTTGGTACTTGATTTTGTAACTTACCCTGGTATGTCTAGTTCCCAGACATTTCTCAAACCTAATCCAACGCACAGGTTTTTGTACCCACAGATCATAATTAAACACAATATTCTGTTAAAATCTTTATATATGATCTATTTCCAAGTAACTCTACAATCTAGACCAACAGATCGAGTGATCTCTCTCAAAAATAGTGTAAAATATTGAATTTGATTAACAGGAAAATTCAAATTACTACTCCTTCAACTTATTTGTTTTTTTTTATTATTTCTCTTATATTTCAAACATGTATAGGAAATCAATAGAAATTTTTTAGGTAAAATTAAGAATTTAAATAATTTGTAAATGTAGCCTACCTTTGTGTAAAAATTATTGTCAGGGTAGGAGGACATAAAGGACGAGTTTCTTTGTTGTGAGTTTTGCAATTAAAATGATATGCAGACTTAGAAACAACAGGGTAAGGATGGGTAGAATCAATATCTGTATGAACCATTCATGGTAAGAGAAAGTGGAGTGTTTTGTCCTTTCTTCTTTCGTTCCATATTTTTATTTTTCTCCTCTCTGCCCAAAGTCTTCATAATACTTGTAAAACGTAGAAACAATTTATTCAACTTTTGGGCTTTCAGATTGAGGAATTTGTATTGTGAAATATTTTGGTACCAATGGTTTTTACGAAAAATTATTTTGTAGTGGTTATAGTTTGAAAACATAGCTAATTGTAGGACATGATTAATCATGCCATCAAACAAATTTAATAGCATATTTTTATTTCTTGGGTTTTGGGCTTAAAGAAACTCTTAAAAAAAAAAACTCAAGTTTAACAAAAAAAGGGCAATCTCTATTATGAACTATTTTTTATTACACTTTTAATTTTCTGAGGCTTACAAATTCATAAAAAACAATTTTTTTATATTGTTTAGGCCTATCGTTATTTTATAGCTAGCTCACAAATTGGCTTCTTGTTTTAGTATCCTTATAAATAATACGTGAAGGCGATTTCTACAAAACACTACTCCTCCGTTAATAATGGACGGATCTTTACAAACGACGTGTCAAAATAAAGTATTTTTTGTGTAGACGCCCCCTTTCAACAATTCCTGTAATAAAGGTCCTCGGGCTTTGCCCCACAGGCCA